GAATACTGTTACATGTAATGCAGGGCAAGCTCATGTTGATTTGTCATATAAGTTTATATTTTCGTATAATATATTTATAAATCTCACAGATTCCTTAATTTCATGGACAAATATTGTAAAACAAAAGAGATATTAACACTTGTTGTCGACCAGTTTGAATATATGTATAACGTATACCGGCGAGTGTGAAATCCGTCCGGTCAACTTTATTTGCTCAAAAATATTTTTTTCACTTTTTTGTTTGATTTTCATAAAATATAGTTTCATATCTCTAAGGTCTACAAATATTAAAAAAATCTACCGAATAACAAAAAAGTTATGACTATTTATATCTCATCCGGTCAATCGTCCTGTCACAATCCGGGCAATCGTCCTGTCATTAGTGCAACCCGTTTTAATGGCATATTTGTCCAATTTCTGTATTGACCCTTCGATATCCGTTCACCTAGATACATGAAATTAACTGAAACTCGAACATCAATACATTTTCTGAAAAATCAACAAGAGCTTGCCCTGCATTATTTATAACAGTATTCGTCCATGCCAATTTTAAACAAATTAAGTCGTCTCGCAGGCCTCCAGATTTTTTGGAAAATTGTGTGTTCACCCCAAGAACCGGTTTGGCCACAACATAACAATTTCAAGTTTATTTACAATTTACACAGTGTGTATATGTTAAATATGTTTAAATAAACATATGTTCCCATAGTATAGGATTTTATTCATTATAGGTTGAAAAATACAGGCAAAGTTTAGATGTTTATGAACATGATGAAGTGTCCTATATTTTGACTTTAGTGGAACCTTAAATCAGTATTGATAAAATATCTTCTAAATCAATATTGATAAAATATCAGCTTTATATCTGGTATGTGCCATGCTAGTGTATTACATCCTCATAAAGCCTTCATAAAGCCTTATTTTTTTGGATCTTAGGGTTCACCTGTTTCGTAGCGAGTACAAATAAATTTTATATTTTCCAACTATGTACATATATTGTTTTTATCCTGAAATTTACACCCAACACTTGAAACTTTAGTTGTTAAAATCTAAATCATTGTCTTTAATTTTTCAAAGAAATCGACACAGTATAAACGCGGACCGCGAAGAGGGCCCCAAAATGAACTGTTACGCAAAAAGAAATATCCACATTACCGCTTGCTCAACTTGGAAGCGGGGTAACAGGAGACTTTATTTGTACAAGTACAAATAAAGCAAAAATGTATGTGTATCTGTTATTTGTACAATAGTTGGCTGTGTACAGGATAAATTTTAATATTGGGTATATTATATAGTTTATTTGTTGTTAAGATATAGTTTCTTGATTTTTTATTGTTCGTTCGTTCGTTCGTTTCACGGTTTGTTTGTTTTTATTTGTTGTTTGTTGATGTTTTTGACACGAATTCTGACCAAAGACAATTTCTGTAAAACTGAGTATCTTTTCTTCATACCTCATTAGAGCACAGCTTGCTTTTGTTTTAAAAGTGTGCCAAATGTATTCCAAAAGGATATATCATTGATCACATATGCAATTGTACAAGAGAGGGATTTCCATTAACTACAGAAAATTCTCAGGTTTTGCTGATAAACTGTTCTGTACGATCCTAAGTAATCAGAGATAAATGGTTTATTAAATTTGTCACTATTGGAGCATCATAAATGCTTTATGGTTCTCTAAAACAATACTTCGATTTATTGGCCCTCGAAATAAACAGAAATTTAATGAAAACATCGACGTTTTATCTCTACTTACATTAAACAGCCATCCAACTCATCACTTGTATTGTACGAACACGATAAAGAATGTGTTTCTATGATCATATGATGATGAATTGGCGTTTAACGTCCAGTGGCAAATACTTCATGCGTATCAGAATGAGAACATGTTTATGTGACACGCGTATGAACCCTGCTTTCTACTAGACTAACACGTGATTTTTTACGGGTAACAGTCTACATGAAGACCTAATGCTATGCCCGGCCACACTGTTAAGTCTCTGAGCCAATCAAGTCTATGATCGTACTCCCAAATACCGCGGGCTAAGTGGAGAAGCAGCAAGTACCCGACAGGGATCGAAACAACGTCCTGCACTCGATTGATTGATTGATTGATTGGTGTTTAACGCCACTTTCAACACTATTGTGCTATTTCGTGGCGGTCAGTTTATATTGGTGGAGGAAGCCGGAGTGCCCGGAGAGAACCACCGACCTTCGGTAGGAAAACTGACAATCCTAGTCAATTAAGATTGGAGTCGAGTGCACCTGCTCCATGCGGGATTCGAACTCACAACCTCAGTGTTGACTGGCTAGTGATACAGTAGTTCGACTACTTAGACCACTCGGCCACCGAGGTGCCCCTCCTGCACTCGCGCTGTACACGCTATTTTCATTTATCATCCTTCTTTTTGCTTATATCACCATTTAATAAAGATATCTGTGGAAATAAACTTGAATTAATGTCTGGACAGTTTAACCTATAAGAAATGTATTTGTTACAGGAGAATGGCTGTTGTTGATCATTTATCTTTTTAAAGAAAACATTATCGGAACCTCGTCGACAAAAAATTCAGCTCTTGGGAACAGAACGACGGAAGTGACATCAGAGTCATTTTTAGAAAGATGGCGACTACAGAATTTGCACTTAATGTTGACCATGTCTATAGTTGTGTCGTTTATCATGTTTTGGGGAATAGGCGGAGTTTTTCAATATTATTTTTATTATAAGCGAAGAACTCAAGTAAGTATTGTTTTGTTTTCAATATAAATTTTCCTTAATGGAGAGAAAAGGCTTTTGGGATCCCTTCTTCATGTTCTTAGGGTCATTTACTCTCACGGAGAACACCATATATTGACTTCCTTTAAATAGCAACAAATTCTAAACCTAAATCCATTCAGTTAAAAAAAACATTCAGATTAGCACTTGCAAAACTTTTGTATATTTGTTTGTTATATAATGTACTTTTCAGTTGGTGATATAAATTGTTTGTCACTTAATTAAAAATCTACTGGTGTTAAGGTTCAGGTTTTTTTTATAATATCAAAAGTAGACGTTTTGAATTGTCTTTTAGAGTTGACCTCCGATTACAGTCAAGTGTTGATATTGCGGGAGTATATGAATTAATATCTTATATTGTCACTTTTTATTGTGGTGGGATCGCTTACACGCAAAGCTTTTGTACAATGTTAGCGTATAGTGCAAACATAAATGAAATCATTCTACACAAAGCATCTAACTCTGCTTCACTTTTCTGTTAGTAAATTATTTTCACCATGTACATTTACTAGTTGTAGCATACACAATTCCCCGTCTTCACGTAGAGAAAATCACAGACCGTAGTTGACAAATCTTTTCAACATTCATTGTAAAGGTTATTTTTACATGCTTCAATTTTACGCCTGTTTTTAATATAATGCTTATGTTAGTTTCCATTTAAAACACACACAATGTTTTTTTTTTGTTCAAGAATAGATTTATCACCCAGGAACAATTTTACTTAAGTGCCAGTCTTTGTAAGAATCAGGCATTTTAGAAATATTTCAAAACATGGCTGAAAAAAACCCACAGCCCTAACCATCCTATTTCGAAGTTACCCTCATCCTGAGTTAGAAATGGTAGGTCTTTCTTTTTTGCGTGTCTGGTAATGCGAGAAATCTCTAGATAAATTTTGGTTAGAATGATAGCAAATTACGGAGTTAGCTCCCCTTAATGTTTAATTTCTAGTGCATTTCAACCAAATTATATCTTGAATTACCAGAACAGGACGAGTATATAAACGAATGTTATATTCGTGGTTATACATTTTGAACAAAAATTAATGTCAACTTGAGTGGGTTTTTGTTTGTCATGTTTTCAACACTGTCTGATTCTTAGGCAGATTGGCACTTAATTCACACATGCGCAATCATTTCGCTAACTGACTAGTTTTGATACTCTCTATAGGCAGCTGATTGGAAATGTCAACCGGACAAATTTTTGACACCAGAAAACGAAAAACATGAATTTCTCCTCGGTTCAGCTAATATGTTACTGGGAGCTACGGTATCTGGTTTTATTGCTTGCTATATAGTTAATGGAGGTTAGTAAAGGATAGATTTCGTATTGACTGGATTTAAAAGCAAGACTATGATGGGTCAATTTATCAACTATGCGGTTAACTAAACCTAATGTTTAAATTTGCTCATACACATTAAGCAATTCTGGTTATGATTGAGTTTTCAAAATAGCGTTCTGTATTTTATGTGTACTTGTGACGTTGTCACACTGCAAAATCGTAATTTTCTTGTTTTTTCTTGCGTCACTCAAACTTAAATGATTTATAGATTGCAAAAAAAAACCCGAATCCAATGACCCCATGATATTATCATATCATTTTAAACAAATTATGTGGACGGAATTTCTTGAAATCGCAATTTAAAGTGTATTAAACGTATTTTTTACATCAAACGTTGGAAAACTTCAGCAACTCGAAGGGACTTGGAATAGTAGCGAAACCAGAGCGGCATGTGAAGTTCATGATCCTAATTACCAAATTTCTTAAATTCTTTGCTGCATTTTTCTAAATTATAAATTATATCCATATTTATTCCACACCAATACAAAAAAAAATAATATACAATCTATTTTAAATATATTTATTTTCAAAGAAAATTCGGAAACACTAACAGGACACACATAAATCAGAAGTTACATTTATCAATTACATTTCCGTTGGATTTTACAGGGTACACCACTTTATATTACAACATATCAGACCGTGGGTGGTTATACTTCCTAGCGTCTATACCAGCGTTTTACATGTATATAGACTGTTTAGCGTACTACTTCCACCGATTGACACACACAAAGTGGTTGTACATCAATATACACAAAGTCCACCACCGATACCACCAACCCACAGCCTTCAGTACTGTAGCAATGCATCCTGCCGAGTTTCTGTTGCACCAGAGTTATCTTATCATTGTTCCATTTTATTTTCCTATCCACGTTGGTAAGTATATTGTCAATAACTTAAAGGAATTTCAGTTTAGTTATCCCACTGTCAATAGACATAGGGTGCATGGGGAATAGAAATATGGTCACTTAGGTCTTCTTCCGATCGACAGTAAAACTCTTGCCAAAGTGGGGCGTCCGTTTGACGGTGCGAGATTTAAAAGTACGCAGTCACGTCCGGTCAGAATTGTGATGTTAAATCCGATGCCTCGTGTAAAGAGAGTGCCACGCTCGATGCACGTTAAGATCCCTGACAACAACTCTTTGAGGTGGCCTGTTGCAAGGCAAAACTTCTGTCCCTACCCAATATACCCTCATTTTCCAGTTGCAATCCACATTTCTCCGACCTTCATCCCGGACGGCCCTAATACACTTGACCTACCTATTGCATTTGATTTTGATTTGTTCTCGTCCTGAACATGCATGAAATAATTGCAACTGGACGTTAAGCAACCAACAATCAATCAGCCAAGTAATACATTGTTTAACCATGTTTCACGACTTATTCATAGAAACGACATTTTTTCATACCTATAAACCAGTGTACATTTCTGGGTTTTCAGTTTGAATATATCTCCGATATTTTTTTGGGAGTAATATTTACGACGGTGACAGTGGAAGAATTCGAAGTAATGCTATCAACAGAATTTAAGCTCTTTCGACTGAATGGCCATTGTAGTTTTTCTCATGTCGTTTGTCAAAAGGGAAGATGGTAGGTGCTCCGAATGAATTATCGTTATCGATATTCACGAAGGTTTACAATCGAGAAAACATGGTTACGTTTGTGCAAAATTATCACCTATATTTCAGTGATGTTCAAATGAAAATATACATGCCAGGATTATGCAATTATGGTTGAATATATATATATATATGTATGCGATTATTTCTGCTTGAGGCAAAAACACATATAATGAATTGTTAAGAAAATAATTATGTTATATATGAGTGAATGGAATTTGCCATGGGAAGAAGTCAAATACGCTCCCACTTCGCAATTTTGAAGCTATATTATCGATCGATGTCGCATCAGCTTATGGATTGAACCTGGTGTGATAAAGTAAAGCTGTCATTTTTTTCGCACCTTTTAACATTAATTGATTAAATATCAACGCCATCATCCTATTATGATATACATTTCATTTTTCATATATCCGCTTATTGTAAAACTACCTTCACTGGTACTGATTAACCTTACTTATTGTGAATTGCCTCTTCTGTTTAAACTATTTATTCAGATAACTATGGCAATTTTTATTTAAACATTTGATGATGGGAGAACGGTAAGATTAGTAAGGTTATGAAAGAAGATGGACTCCTCCTTTATAATGAAAATATTTAAGCAAATAACCGTCCAAGACAGATTCCAAATAAGAAAGACATTTGCTACGGATCACAGGTGTCTTGAGTATGGAAGGATGACCTCCGGGACTTCTCAGTCCTATAATAAGGCATATTCTGAAGGGGAAAGGGGAGGAAGGCGTCTTTTTGGCTGCTATTATACGGTCATGTCAAATTAAGCGACATAAGGGACATTAATTAATATCAATATCTGTGTTCAATGGAGCAGAATATGCTTACCCTTTCGGGGCACCTAAGATCACCCCCGGTTTTTTGTGGGGTTCGTGTTGCTCAGACCTTAGTTTTCTATGTTGTGTTTTGTATACTGTTGTTTGTCTTTTTTTTTGCCGTTTCCTTTCTTGCCATGGCGTTGTCAGTTTATTTCGACTTTTTTCTCCGATGAGTTTGAATGTCCCTTTGGTACCTTTCGCCTCTCTTCTGAAAATGCAAAGCACTTGGCACATGTAACTTCTTGGTATCTTGGGTGTCTTGTTGCAAGGCAAATCTTCTAACCTACTCATGTAATATACATTTTTTGCACTAGCATATTAACTCATCGGCGATTGTGTCGACATAACCTACCAATTTGATTCTTTTGGCGTCATTTTGTTTATGTACGCCAGAACATGTATACGCAGCCACGTCTAGAACTCTCAATTCGATTCTCTTGTAGTGAAAGTGTAACGCTGTCTGCACGTTGAAAACATTGCCACAACTCTTTGTGGAATTCTTATATGTGACGTGTTGCAAGAAAAAGTTACTGCTTTTTCTTCGCCTCGATCGTAACACTTCTACAACCTACCCTATACCGTTTATTGTTTGTTTATTGTCCGGAATATGTAGAAAATATTTGCCCGATGAACTAAAACCTATCCTAAATATGTCATCAGCCAAATTTTCTTGCAGGACGCCAGTACTCTTAATTAAACGCTGTAACTTTCCTCAAAGCACGATTTCTTTAAATTCAAATTTCAACAGGGGATAACCTGTTTTTTTTACAATGGCAGGTGATGCATGCTTAACAGGAGATACTTACCCTGTCGACGCACTCGGCCTCGCCTCTATTGGATTTCATGCTTCCATTAGTTTTTGTTTGTCACCTTAATCTATAATGATATTTGAACATCTATTGACTGTTGTTGTCTAAATTTATGTGACATTGTTATTGAATGATATTTCTCGGTGAACTCGGTGTTCATATACCTAATACAAATAATATTTTGTGAAGATAATCAGTATAAGTAAACCTAATGATTAAATGACCAAAACTGTATCTATTACATTTTAAGAAAAAAATTTCTACTGTGTATATACTAACAATATTATATGTATATAACTATGGTATAATTATATTTCACTTGTGTATATACCAACAAAACTATATGTGTATTATTATGGTATAATTATATTACAGCTGTTTATATACCAACAATATTATATGTGTATTACTATGGTATGATGGATCATTCCGGGATAAAGATGAGTGCACTCTGGCCATGGCAACCACCTTCTATCTTCCATGACAACCATCACAAGTATGTACAATACAGCACTTTAATGATAATCATAGCATGAATGTGCAGCTGATAAAAAATGATAACAACACTTTATAAATTTCATGTGTCCGAATCGGTTTTCTGGATTAACCTTCATCAGGAATGCTTAAAGCCGAATATTTGAAAGCCAAGGATGTATAAGTACCGAAACAGTTGGAGCTCAAAGACCAAAAAGGACCTAAAATAGCCAAATCCGTCTAAGGTCAACTTTCCGTGAGGGAGTTAAAACTTTAGTTTCTTTATAATTTCTAAATTTATGAACGAACAATTTTAGAAAGGTTTGTTATAAATCATGTCAGTACCGAAGTACTGACTACTTATAAGTTTAAAACAAAATGTTAAAAGCTCTCAATTTGTCTGTAGGTTTGTACCATATGAACATGAGTTAAAAAGTGTATGTACATCATACAGTAACCAAATAAAAGCCATCAAATTGAGAAAAAATATGAAGAGCGTATTACTTTTAATTAAATACCATGATATTACATAGAAAGCTCTTTAAATTGTCCTTAAGACGGAATCTACTCCATTATATAGGCAACATTTTGCCACTAAACGTGGACGTAAAGCTAACAACGTTCAATACGTACATAATCAGTTGCGAATGATTTTAAGGGCATAAAGAAAATTCAAAACATTTTGTTTTAATAAATGGAGAAGGTATGACACTTTGTTGGTCCTTTGAATTCGAAAATCAAAAAGTATTATCTATCAAGCAACATCCTTCAGATGCATGCTTACGGAAGGGCTTGTTTTTAATGCAAAACTGCCAATATATTTACCTCATTTTGGAATAATTAAGTGTGCTTCATATCTTGACTTACATCTAAAAATTGAGAATGACCTAAATTATCCCGTAGTGAACTTTCCATTTATATGTAGCAACATTCCAGCACCGCCTACATTTGGAGTATATATCGCCCAGCTGGTGCGATATTCTAGAACTAGCCTATCCTACAGTAGTATCATGATTTTTCTGATATAAAGTTGCTGTTTACATTTAACAAGGACGCTACTTTACCCAAGGGTACCTAATATTAAGGATGATGTCATTCCTTTGAAATTGTTACGGACACCATCATGTTTAGTTGACCGAAATATTGGAACACCTGGGTCACTAATGATCCAAAATATTGGAATATGATTGTCACCAATGACCGAAATATTTGAATATTTGTGTCACGAATGACCGAACTATTGGAATATCTCTGTCACGAATGACTGCGGATATGTTCTAATTGTTGTAGCCACAATCCCGCCTAGATTGTTATCCAAAGCTTTGTTACATTTATTTGTTTTCTTTTCATTTTTTTCCATATTACAAAGCACACACAAGTTCTTAAAATTGATGTAATTTAGATGATGTACATGTATTATTGTCATGATGTATGTCAAAGAAACAATCGTAAGTAATACTTATATATACTTTTATTATTGAAAGGTATTTCCATGTCAACTTTGGTTTTAATTCCTATTTTTTCGATTGGCTGCATGATACCCTCAGGAAAGAAGACCGCGTATATGGAGAAGACATTTTTGGTGGAAAGGGTCAACAACTCTTATCTACAAAGAAGTTGTCATGATAAAATGCTAAGATATTTAATTCAGTTCACTAATTATTCTTTAAATATTTAGTTAAATTAAACAATATGTCACATCCATAAATGCAGTAAGGTCAGATTGTTGACCTTTTGCTACATAATTCAATGTTATTCATAGGTGTCAACTTTCCAGATATTAGTGGGAACAATTGAAAACAAAAGGAAATCTACATTTGAAAAAGACTCAAATATCTATTTTAAAACAAAATAATTTTCTATTTCTAACTCTTTAGACATTATTTCATTTTATAGTCATTATTTTGGTGAAAAAACTCATAAATCGACATTTCAGCGGAATTTGTTCTCGTCATTAACAGATAAACAATTTGACGCCAAATGTAAGCTTCCGGTGTTAAACGGAAACATCACACTTTGTGTATGTCTCAGAATGAAATAAATATTGCAAACTGAAGATTTTCAGATGAAAAATGAAACTATTATTATTATTATTATTGAGGAAATCCTATATGAATCCATGATGAAGGCTTTCTTAAGTTACAGACGGGTAGATTGAGAATTGCACCCGTCATTCTGTTTTCCAAATAGACCCATCTATAGAAAAAATGCATTAAAAATAACTTCAACTGCAAGAGGTTATATAAAATATGACAAACAACATGACATTTATTTGACGACACATTTTTTATAGAAACTATTTTTTTTTTAGGTTACCATAGATCTCCCATTTTAAAAGTTTTTTTCAAAGTTGACACCTATGTTTAACATAATTTTTGTTGTTGTTTTTTTAATGCATTACACTGTATTGATCTATGATTTACAAGTGCTAATTTACATATTTTTTAATTTGTTTGTTTGTTTGTTTTTCTTTTAACTTTGACTTTACAGGTATTTTGAAAATTATGCTGGATTGGTGCCAACTATTTTGAGATCTATGACATGAAGTTAAACATTGAGATCTCTATGAACGAATAATTGGACCATGCAGACAGCCTTATTTTGTTAATTATGCCCTACCTACGATAGTAGAGGGGCATTATGTTTTTCGGTCTGTGCGTCCGTTCGTTCGTTCGTCCGTCCGTTCGTCTGTCCTACTTCAGGTTAAAGTTTTTGGTCAAGGTAGTTTTTGATGAAGTTGAAGTCCAATCAACTTGAAACTGAGTACACATGTTCCCTATGATATGATCTTTCTAATTCTAATGCCAAATTAGAGTTTTAACCCCAATTTCATGGTCCACTGAACTTAGAAAATGATAGTGCGAGTGGGGCATCCGTGTACTATTGACACATTCTTGTTTATTTATTGTGTTATGTTTTTGTTTTTGTTGTTGTTGTGTTTTTTATAATGTACTTATCTCTTTAAATTTTAAAGCCATGTTTGTTAAATTTGTTAACTATGTATTATTATTTGAGATCTATGACATGAACTTTACCATTGAGATCTCTATGAACAACTAAAAATACTATTTAAATCAGTGTAAAAGTAAGGGTATTTTTGTTAGTTTTTATCTTGTTATTTTGTTATGATAATGTTGTTACCTCTTTGAAGATTAAAGCCAGTAGTTTTATTGTTCAGTATTATTATTTAAACATTATCAGGGTAAGATGCAAATTTATGTGTTCCGTCTTTTTTTCGTTTAAAAATAGAAATATTGCTAGGTTCAAATATACCACGAGTATAATTTTTATGTATTTAGATAGTCTATTTATTACCTTGACACAAAATGATTCAGCACTTTGTATTATTGCATTATTGTATTAGTAAAAAATGCTTTTTACAGAAGTATAATGAAAATGAAATTTCTTGAAACTCTATGACTTGAAAACGTATTTCAATGAGGGTTTTCGACATGAAACAAAAATGAAAGCACACCATATTAGGAATTGATATTTAATAATAGATTTAAGTATTTATTTATTGGTTCATTTTTTTTAAATAAGTGTACACCATGCTTTATATATATATATTATCACTTAATATTAGAAAACAGCCATTGCTTGAAACTGTGTAGAAAATAATGAAAATGACAGTCAATGAAACTCTATGACTTGAAAACTTATTTCAATGAAACTCTATGACTTGAAAACTTATTTCAATGAGAGTTTTCACAGTATGAAACACAGGATTAGGAAATGAGGTTTAATGATAGGTTTTTAGTATTTATTAATTGATGTATTAGTATTTCGTAATTGATGTTTTTTAGTTTTTATTAATTGATGTATTAGTATTTATTAAATGACTGATTGAAGCATTTACTTAAGAAAAGGAAGACTTACTATCTTGAAATCAGGGATGATTTGAAAATATTTTGAACAGTAAGCTTAATATAACATTGAATGAAAATACAAAGACATGAACAATACAACATAAAGTAAGGTGTTAAAACATACAACAATGCACTATGTCACAGATTATTGTAAGTTTTTGCATACAACCTGGACCTGGTGAACCCTTCTAGTGAAAATAAAAAAAATGGATGTCCTTTCTAAAATAGATATAGAAAATTGTATAGAATTCATGTAAAATCTTGAAAATATCCTAAAATTATCCTTAAAAACCCCCCATCTCAAAACGTATCTCATAGGTTATTCTACCGATATGTTACTGGTTGGAAGATAAATGTCCGTTTTGATAATTTAAAGTCATCATGTTTGGCTATACAGAACTTAAAGTCTTTTTCTTGGTCGAAAAATATCACAAAACGTCAAAATAATCGTATCGTCATTTTGCGGTAGAATTGTAAATCACGATTTTTTAAAGTATTCTCTACCAAAACGATAATAGATTTGACTAATACACCAAAAGTGAATTAGGTTACTCTAGGGTTATTTAATATTAATCAAACGAATATTTATGTAGCAACAACTTACACCAATTTTTAAGAAACATCTATGGATTGGTTTTGGAAATTTGATGATTGAACGATAATCTAAGATCGCTTTTTATCGATTATATCTATACGAATGAACATTGATTTTTTTTATTATTTTCATTCAACATGTCCAATTATATTTTAGAAAAAAAAGATATGAATACATTAAGTTCCGATTTTTAGTTCAAGTTAAACATACAGAAGTTTCATGCAAAATCTTAAAAATATCTCTGACACGACCCATTTACTGTAAGTTGACCTTAATGTAAACAAAATATCTATTTTGTTGCAAGGTAATGGTGTGAAAATAAAATTGAAGTCTGTTGAATGCAATTTACTGTGTAAATATATTCTGAGATCTATGACATGAGCTGTATCGTTGAGATCTCTCTGAAGCAAGCAGTAGCAAGTTGTAGATTGTGTACCTTTTCAAGGAATGTTTTTACATATTATTGTTATTGTTTTGCTGTAGAAAAATATAAATTACACTGTGTATGATTTTTATCTTTCACAATTGAGATAAAATAAAATGTTGTTATAATTTTTAAATTGATCTGTTTATTCTATCATATGTATATATAGACCTTAAAAAATGTCCCTGTCCCTTCTTTTTTCGGTATTCCAATTGTTAAAACTTTTTAAACAGGCCTGACAGAAGATCGGCATATGTATTTGTCCATGGATAATAAAGAGATAACTTATTCAAGACACATTTTAACACACAAATCTTACTTTATATTAATAGTAGGAATAGAATATTTCAGGCTTTCGTTTCAAAATGGAAATGTACAGTTGCTCCCCTTTAACTGTACTATTTTGAGTTCTTATTAACAAACTGATTTCAAAGATCCATGCTGTTTGTCTTTAATATTAGGAAGTAACGCATTTACTATACCTCAAAGGCAAGTACAGAAATAACAAAATGTCTATCTACATTGGATAATTGGGGAAAATCTCTAACATAACAACAACTGTCTTCTATCTGAAGTAGTACATTTATACGATCAGAAAAGATTTTTTTTTTCAATGTCAAAAACGGTAGTTAATCCTGCTTTGTGGTCGTTTAGGGATTAGTTAAGTCACATCCCTTAGAAAAGTTACATTACAGTAACATTGTAAGCCAGAATATGATTCACATTAAACCTATATCATTCTAAGTAAATAAAATGTACAGTTATATTATTAATAAAGCGGACAAGTATATATATATCTAGTTATTGTCTTGTAAAAAGAGACTTAAGCTTCCAAGGGGACATGAAAAACCATAAGTCGGAGAATAACATACAAAATAATAGACAAAAAGAACCAATACAACAAGGCAACTAACAATTAACAAAACACTACACAAAAAAAAAAGGAAAGACTGACCAGCACGAACCCCTCCAAATACCGGCGTGATCACAATCGCGGAAAAGAGGAAATGATTATGGCTACGATAATTGTGACAAATCCGTTGTCATCTGTAACTTATATTTTCTATAACTGTCAACCAAGTTATGATGACTTCGATTTTCAACAAAGACATGGTATAAAAGAATTTAAGGAATAATTTCAAATTCTTGTCTTATTGTATTATAATCGTTCCGTTTTCAAATCAGGAATATGACAGTTGTTTTCCATTCGTTTGATGTGTTTGAGCTTTTGATTTTGCCATTTGAGAAAGGTCTTTCCGTTTTGAATTTTCCTTTGAGTTCGGTTTTTTTATTTTTTTACTTTTTTCAAAACATTTCATGAACGTGATATATATTTTCAACAATTTTGATAATTAAAATATCCTGATGTGCAACATTGCAAGAATGCAAGAAGAGGATAATAAGGTGTGACATGTATTACCGTGTAGAACGCCACATGCGGGGTGTTAGCTATGTAGCGATCAAGGTAAGTAAAAGTATCAAAATTGCTTTTTTGAGATATGTTAGCATCAAATAATGTATTGCACGGAAGGAACCGAGCCATAATCTATTTACGGCAAGTTAAAGCACACGTTTCCAGTGCTCCGTTTTTTCAAACACCTCTCCCTAGTTTTCGGTCTTGCAGGTTTTGAGACTAAATTTGCAAGTTTTTTCCCGTATGATTCTATAGAAATGAATTCCTATCGTAGAATTTAATGAAATTGCAGCTTCTTAGTCGAAATTTATTGTTCTTTAAGTTAATTTTTCATCGAAAAGTAATGTGTCGCTCGGGGTGTCAGATTTTGCGTCTCAAGGGAGTGAGGCCTTTATGAAAACAAGTATAGAATTGCCTATAATACGGTCTTTATCTGATAAATTGTAATTTAAACACATATACATTAGTATGATGACTATTAGACAAAGGCCGAATTATAGGCAAATATATCCTTGTTTTAATACATGCATCACCCCCTTGAGACGCAAAATCTGACACCCCGAGCGATACATTACATTTCGACGAAAAATTAACTTTAAAAACAATAAATGTTTACTAAGAAGCTGCCATTCGGTTAAATTTTACGATAGGAATTCATTTCTATATAATTCATATTGGGAAAAATCGCCAACAGTAATTTTTATCCTGAAACTTGCATATGAAGCCTAAAAATCTGCAACATGGAGCACTAGGGATAGGTGTTTGAGAAAACGGAGCACTGGACACGTGTGCTTCTACTTGCTAGAATTAGATTATGGTTCGGTTCCTTCAGTGCAATACATTATTTGGTACTTACAATTCTCAAAAAAGCAATTTTGATACTTTTACTTACCTTGATCGCTTTTTCTCCGCTTCAAAACCGCCACCCCAAACATAGCCCACATATGTGTCGTTCTACACGGTGATACCCGACTAATTGATAGAAATTTGTTGAAACAGAGCACTGAAGACCAATTGAGACAGATGAACATCCACTTTCAAATTGGTATTTCAATTTCCAAAATCGGTTCATGTGAAACCTAAGTATTATGTCTTTCAGGTATTTTATTTCAGCTTTCATGATTAGCCAATTTAATTATTATGAAAACAAAAAATTTAATTAAGTATGCACAATCTTGTGATCTCTCGAAGAGCACAAAAGACTCGTTTTATAAATAATGTTATTTCACCTTTAGGGTGAAAACCGAGTTTAAATATCAATTTCGTGTATACTAGTAGTACTCGATAATTAACAGTATAATGTATGAAATTTTCAAACACCGATAAATCTTGGAATATGCAGTGAAATTAACGCAGGGTCAAATTTTCGCGTTTCTTAAGCTGTCGCGAACAAGACGAAAATTAAATACACGCAAAAAAAAACCCCGATATACGGTATATATTCCTTCATAACGTGGCTTGTTGGTCACTCCGGAGCATCTGTGATCAACCCCGATTTTTGGTGGGGTACGTGTTGCTCAGTTTTTAGTTTTCCATGTTGTGTTTTGTATCTATTGTTGTTTGTTTTATAGTATTTCATCGTTTTTTTGCCATGGCGTTGTCAGTTTATTTTCGACTTTGAGTTCGAATGTCCCTATGGTATCTTTGGCCTTTCTTTTGTAAATAACCCTAATCTATACTATCATATTAACTGTTCATAGATGAAGACTGATATAGAAAAAGAGGGGCGAAAGATACCACAGGGACATTCAAACTCATAAGTCAAATATAAACTGACAACGTCATGCTAAAAAAGAAAAAGACCAACAGATTAACAGACAAACAACAGTACACAAAACAAAACATAGAAAACTATGAGCAACACGAACCCCACGAAAAACTGGGGTAGAAACGATACCAATCTCATTAAATGAAAACATTTGTGCATTTATTTTTATTCTTTCTGATACCATCATGGGTTTTCTTAGAGGTTTAGTTCTTGAAATAACATATTTTCAGTATTATGTCATCTCATCCATAAACAGATGAAATCAGATATCAAGGTCAAATGATAATTAGTAAACCTATACCCTCTGTGGAATACACGTGGATGAATACTGTATCCTGAAACTATATACATCACATTATTTTAACTTACTTATAGATGTCTCAAAACTGTTTAAAATTAAATTGTCCATGCAATACTAAATTTCAGATTAAAAAATTTGAGATCCTAAATTTATTTTACTTTGTGGATAAACAAATATTATTAATTGTTATTGTCAACTATCAATCCACAAATTGGTTTGATTAACTTGTACATCTAATGTATAAAATTTGCAACAAACATTAATTTTACACTGATACTGTGTAAAATAATATTTCAAATTTCAAATAGTTGCTTGTGGTATCATAATGGTTCCGTTTCCAAACATTTCATTAAAGCGGTATATATTTTCGACAACTTCAATCATTAAAATATACTGATGTTACACGTGCAACATTACAAGATAAAACTTTAGAATAGGATAGTTTTCGTTTTCATATGCTTGATATTATCTGCAACTAAAATTTAGAGATGGAATGGTCTTAATTTGGACATAGTTTTGTGAAACTTTAGCAGATAATCCAATTCATTATGTAAGATGGAATAACGGTTTAACAAATGTTAATAGTGACCTAGTGTCCATTTGATTTCCTCACTCGATTTAAAAAAATGTCTATCTTTAATTAGCGTTATGGTTACGAGGTATGGGATTAAGGATTAGGATTAGGGTTAGGGTTTTGGGTAAGGAATAGGATTAGAGTTAAGGGTTTGGGTTATTCGAGGTTTCATGTAATTACCAAGCATTTGAAAATTTGAAATGTTACCTATCGAGAGTAGATTAATATTTTAATCAACAGAAAAATATATAGAATCTATTTCTTAAATAATCTAATCGAAAATTCTAAGTGAAAGTAAATATGGCGGGAAATTACACTAGACAAATTTGATCATTTAGGTGTGGTAAATAAAAATGACCAGAACCGGTTTAACAAGTGCATACCTAATTGTAATAAAAGAAATTAAACATATTTTGCCGAAGAAATATTTATACATGATATCCTCTCATTAGGTAGCTAGTAAATATCCTCCACCATTTGTATCATTTTAACTGTTCATAGATGACGACTGAAATATACACGATAACAATCTCATTAAATGAATCTTATACCATCAGGTATTTTCTTTCATTTTAAGTTCCTAAAAAAAAGGAATTCTTAGTATAATGTCATGTCACCTATAAAAAGAAGATATTATACATCAAGGTTAAATGATAAGTATTCAAATTTATACCCTATATGGAATACACATAAATGAAACATTGTATCCTGAAACTATATACATCACATTATTTTGAATTTACTTATAGGTGTCGCAAAACTGTTCAATTTTAAACTTTTCATGAAATACTAAATTTCAGATATAAAACAGATTAATATCAAAATATATGAATGGAAATTATTAGAATTAACCAGGTGTTTTTATATAAAACAACAGAAATTCGGACAATACCCTGTCTAAATATTTCAGACCCTCAATTTATTTTACTTTGTAAATAAGCAGATATTAAGATTTGTTCTGGTCGAATATCAATTCACAATTTTTTTTGATAATCAGTTTCTTCTAATGTTTAAAATTTGCAACAAACAACGCATTGTAAAATAATATTTTGAATTTCAAATAGTTCATTGTTGTATCA